CGCCCCTCCCCACTCGTGCTCTCTATCTCAAAATAAATAAATGAATTTAAAAAAAGATTGTACCATCTTTGTCCAGTTGTCTGCATGTCACCAGTAAAGTTAACCTAGCCTTGTAAAACAGTTAGGTGAGGATAATCATGTTTATCAGGGAAGGATCCATATCTGTATATTTAAAAAGTCTTTTTTATTTCTCTATTTAGCAAATTCCCCCAGCACCTTTACAGTATTTATAACCTATCAAAATGTAATGTGTACACTTCTCAGGACCCTGTATTCTTACTTAGAAGGTGCAGTATGCTTTATGTAGTTTGTTGCAGTGCTCAAATTCATTGTGATGGTATCTTTTTGGGGGTGGGGGTAATTTAAAACACATTTTCAAATCCCTTTAAGGTCAAATTGTTTGTAGGGGAAAATATCCTTGTACCTTTTATAAGCTGCTTATACTCGTAACACAGATTAACTTCCCAGCACATAAAGGGAATACTAGAAAACCCTTGCATGATTAAATATGCCCCCGGAGGATTAAGTTTTTCCACATATTTTTGAAGCCAGAGCTATGAATAACGTTTCAGCATTTAACTTTCTGTACATCCTGATTATGGGGGAGGCTTTCACTCCTACTGCTCTTGCTGTTAGTTTTTCTGCTTTTCAGATTTGTAGCACTGCGAATTATCTGTGGAAACATGGGCTTGAAATCTGAAAGGTTAATTAAGGTCCAACATAGTATCGTCTCTGGAATTATTCCAGTTTTTTTTTTCAAAGTTTTTGTCCATTTTTCCAACCTGTTCTTCTTTTACCTTACTGCACACCTGGCACAAAATACCTAGTTGGTGAGCTTAGTCGTTTAGAAATAAGTGATCACTAAGCACACAGTATTTATCATTTTGAAAAAGATCACTTAATTTTCATGCATTTTTCCTAAGATAAATTCTGGTTTGTAAGCAATCTCTTTATTCCTGAGGGATTCAGTTACCAAGTGCCTTTTTATCCAGGCATTGGGTGGTCAGATTAATTTACTGGAGCTAATCAGCCAAAGGCTCAGCTTTGTGTGCCTTGAGGCATTCTGGTCACCCCTTGCTCCTCCGTAATCCCTGTGTACCTCTTCCCTGCAGGTCTTAGGTTAACCTTCCTTGGCTTCTTTCATAGGTATTCAGCAGCCCCTTGATTTCCTTGACGTCTGTGGTACCTTTATCCTGTCCCCAAGCTTACATAGGTCCTTAACCATATTTCCCCCCCAAACTTCTATTTTCTGTCCTGAGCAGGGGCCTCCACTTCCTTTCTCACATTCCCCACGCAGCTGTGCCAGACCATCACCACCCTCCTCAAGCTCTGTGGTCCACCTCATCCCCTTCTCTGGCAGCGGATGACCATGCTGCCTCCTGTCAGACTCCAGAACTTGTCAGCCCCCAGTTCCCTACTCTCCTAACTCACCACTACAGCTGCTTTGCTTCCTGTGGCTGAAGGAGGGCTCCCCTCTTTGCTCCAACTTCATCAGGCTTTAGAGTTCTTCTTCCTCTTGCACAACCTTCCCCCAGCATTAGGGGGGAAATAGGGATTTTACTATTATTTAAATAAGTCACGCATGCCCCTGGTTTTAAAAATTCAAGTGGTATAAAAGAATTTACAGGGGCAACTACTTGACGCCAGTTGTATGTGTGTGTTCTTCCAGAGATCTTATATGCATGAACAAGCATACACACAGGTCACATTTCCCTTTCTTCCTCTTTCCTCCTCTACCTTTATTTCAAAAACATTAATACTAGATACTTGGTCTGTACATTGCTTTTAATATATCCGTATGTCTTGGAAATAGGTTTATATCAATACTCTAGAGCTACTCTGTTCTTTTAATGGATCTAGACTATGCCCTTGATTGTAAATGCACCATAATTTTGTTAATCAGCCCCCTATTAAAGAGTCATCGCTTCTCATCTTTTGTTGCTGCAGTGTTTCAGTGAGCATGATTACACGCTGATTTTTTTTTTTGCCCATGGACAACTGTATCTGTGTGAAAGGTCTTTGAAGTGGAATTGCTGGATCGAAGAGTTTATACATTTTTATTTCTGAGTGGATGAATTTGTAAACTTAATTAACTAATTAATTAATTATGGAAGCTTTGTTCACAACTGCCAAAGCTTAGAAGCAACCAACATGTCTTTCAGTGGGTGAATGGATAAACAAACTGTGGTACATACAGCAAAAGAATATTACTTACCACTAAAAAAAAAAAAAAAAAAAAAAAAAAAAAAAAAAAAAAAAAAAAAAAAAAAAAAAAAAAAGAGTTATTGAGTCATGCACAGACATGGCAGAACCTTAAATGCATGTGACTAAGTGAAAGAAGCCCATTTGAAAGGGCCACAAACTGTATGACACTCTGGAAAAGGCACCATTATGGAAACAGTAAAAGGGTCAGTGGTTGTTAGGCTGGGGTGGGTGGGAGATGACTAGGCAGAGCACAGGGGATTTTTAGGGTAGTGAAAATATAATGATTGGTATATATCTATTCTTCCCCCCTCCCCCATTTTTCTGTTTCTAGTATTACTGCTTTTCCAGCCTTTCTATTCATGTGTAATTGATTTCTCCAATTTCTCTTCAGTGTCTGCTATCTTTTTGATACATTCATCTCTTTATTTCCTCTGAGTTTTGACACAGTTTCTGAGATATTCGGCTTTACTGTTTCCTTTCTAATTTTCACAATTCCTGTGATCTTTGAATTTTTAAATATGATAATCATTTTTTTTTTCCTTCTAAGAACTCATATTGTTCTGTCAAGATTGTGGGCCTTTAATCTTATTATTGAAGAAAAATATATATACAAAAAGGTACTTGATGGCTTTTTACAAAGTACACCAACATCCAGATAAAGAAACAAATAGCATTCCTTGTGCCCCTTCTATGTATAGTTCCTCCGTGGGTAACCACTCTCCTGACTTAGATTCATTTTTTGCCTGTTCTTTTTTTTTTAAGTTTATATATATAAATGTAACCATACAGTACATATTGCTTCCCTCTTCTTTTGTTTAACATTATGTTTGTGAGAGTTATCTCTGTTGTTGCATGTAGATATAGTTGTTTTCATTGCTAAGTAGTATTCCATTGCATAAATATACCAGTTTGTTCATTCATTCTACTATTTTTTTTTTTTCAACGTTTTTTTAATTTATTTTTGGGACAGAGAGAGACAGAGCATGAACGGGGGAGGGGCAGAGAGAGAGGGAGACACAGAATCGGAAACAGGCTCCAGGCTCTGAGCCATCAGCCCAGAGCCCGACACGGGGCTCGAACTCACGGACCGCGAGATCGTGACCTGGCTGAAGTCGGACGCTTAACCAACTGCGCCACCCAGGCGCCCCACATTCATTCTACTATTGATGGACATTTGAGTAGGATCTAGTTTGGACTGTCATAAATAGTGCTACTGTAGACACTTTGGGTCTTCTGATGCATACCTGAATACATTTTGTTATTGGTACATATATCTAGGAATATAATTGCTTGATCATAGGGCATGTAAGTGTTAAAGACTCTAAAGTAGCTCTCCCATTTTGCATTCCTGTGAAAATCCTGGTTGTTCTACATTCTTGCCAGTACTTGGTAACTTCTTTTTAATTTTAGCCATTTTGGTGGCTTAAAGTAGGAATTCCTTGTGGTTTTAGTTTTCGTTTCCCTAATCACTTGTAATGTTAAGCAACTTTTCATATGTTTATTGGCCATTTGGATATCCTCTGTTGTGACATGCCTGGTGAAATTTATCTTTACCTATTTAAACTATTCTGTTATTTAAAAACATATGGCTAGCCAGTAGATCACATTTCCCATCAATTGGTCCCTCTTTTCCTTTATCCCTTTTAATTTTTTTCTTGGCTCTTCTCTGGCCTGTAATTTTTTTTCCTAAGAAGTGAAATTTAGAATCAGGTAACCGTAGCTTTTCTAGAATTTTTAGTAAGTTTGCCTGAAACTTACATTTTATTTGAGAAAAATTATCATCTGAATTGGAAGATGATATTGTCATTCTTTCCAAAAAGGGGGAAATGGTAAATACTAGGCCCTCCCAATGTTTGCCCACCAGAGTGCATAATTATCCTCATATTTAATTTCTAGTTTTAGTTTCATTCTTGATAGGTGCTTGTAGAAGTGAAAATTTTATAATACGCTTTTAAATCCTACAACACCCTTTTTAAAAAAATTTAATGTTTTACAGGTTCTTGATCAATATGAACGAGAAGGATTTAATTTCCTAGCGAAGGTGTTTAATTCTTCACATTCCTTCTTAGAAGACTTGACCGGTCTCACATTGCTGCATCAAGAGACCCAAGCTGCTGAGGTAAGAATAAAGCAAGCTTTCTGTACTGAGGACTGATGTGTTTGAAACCTACTTGATATTCAGATTTATGGAAAAGTAAGGAAGTGGTTAATTAGGATTTTTTTTCCCTTAGAACAAACATCACTAAATAAGTCTGCTAGTTATCAGAGGAGAATGGACCTTCTGAAATTGCTGTATGTTCATGTGTGCAGATTGTTGTATAGTAGGTGCCCAATGTACATAATTAAAGGGAGTATAGCTTACTGATTTTCAGGCACCTCTGGTCCTTTCTGAAGAACACCATTCCTGTAGCCATTGGAGAGTTGGCTCTAATGTCCATAGCTCAAAATGTAAAACAGGGAAGACTGGGTTCTGGCCATGTTCAGAGAGAATATGCCTGGCTTTTATTTCATGATTGGATGCATCTTCTTAGGCCACCAAACCCTACCATGAATGGCTTCTCCGGTCACAACCTGAGATAGTTATGCTTTGCTTGTCAATTAGAATGTATTGCAAATCTTAATTTCCTGTGAAGAAGTTCTTAGGAAAAATGGTCTGTCTTAGCATTTCCACAAGCTACATAAGGAAAACCTTGTGTGCCTGTGTCCTGCAGGAGTGGAACACTTGCAAAGAGGCCTTTAGTCCTATAGTCCTATTTATTGATTACCACCCCATTCCCACCCTTGCCCCGGGTTGTGTGTCTTCACTGTTGGGACAGGCCCCAGTGGTCACTGAGTAGACATTCAGGCCCAGTACTGGACTAGCTGGTGGCAAACTAAAGCTGCTGTTGGGCAGACTGGGGCTAGCCTTGAGTAAGGGTGGAACTACCAGAGTCCAATCCTTGGACACTCTCAGCAGACTGAGGTGAGAGTTGTAGGCACACCCGAGAGGCAAGATAGTACATCTCTAATACAACTTTTAACACTGAAATCAGTTCTGGGGTACCTGGCTGGCTTAGTCGGAAGAGCATGTGACTCGATCTGGGGGTCCTGAGTTTGAGCACTGCTTGCCATGGTATCCTCTGGGCAGTCAGTAGATACAGTACCCAACTTACAGCCAATAGTTAGACCCACACAGAGTCTCTCAGCTTCAGTCTCAGAAGATGAATGGAATCTTTGCTGAACTTTAAGAGACTTTGAGATTTTCCCCAGAACTGTGATTGGTTCCCAGAGGGTTCAGAATGTTATGGTGGTCATGGCCACTGTATTATCCTTTGAGCAGCACTGTACTGCCTGATGATAAGGGAAAAGTAACTTACAGGTCTTTTCCACCATGCAATTGTTTGACTAGTTGGCTGGGGGAATATTTCTTCCCAGATAGAAACAATTCATATACTTCTCTTTTGTTGGCTAGATGAATTGCAACTTGAAATTGACCCCAAATCTCACCTTTTAAAACAGAGCAGATGCTAGGATAATGGACAGATTCCTTGATAAAATCTGGCTTGTTTTGCATTTGAGTTGCATTAATAGCCTTTCAAAGAAGGAAGAGAAGGGGAAGTTTAAGAGAGCAAATAGTGACTAAATAGATGGTGGGGCAGCAGGGGACATGGTTTCATCCACAAGCCTGAGATTGCTTTTTCAAGTTTTCCTCCATTAAATTATATTTATAGGTTTGGAATCATAAGCCACACATCAAATTTTTGATTAGAGATGGTAGACTGTTTGGCTTGTGAGCCAGATATGGCTTGCAGGTGTGTTTTGTTTGGCTTGCCCTGTGTGTTAAATCCTGAATAAACTCAACATTTAAAACTTGTGAGTTTTACATAAAAATCTGAATTTTCCCATTTCTAACTTCTTTGAAAAATCAGATCTGGTGTGCCGAGGCCTGCATTTCTTAATAGTGATGGCTAGCTGGAATCAGGATACAAATTTTATAGTTAAATAATGTATTTTATATGAAATTTATTTTGCAGGAAAAGGAAATCTTCTACACTTGTTCCTTACCACCCAGTTTCCTTCCTAGAGACAAACACTGTTGTTGGTTTTTTGCCCAAAGGTATTTTCTAGGTGATATTCTCCATTTAAATGATGCTCTTGAGCTAATGACCCTTCCAGTATTGGAATTTGGAATCATTATCTTGGAATTTGGAATCCTTCCATTCATTAGATTGTCTTTTACTTTTCTAGATTGTTTCCTTCGCTGTGCAGTAGCTTTTTATATTGATGTAGTCTCAACAGTTTATTTTTGCTATTATTTCCTTTGCCCCAAGAGACATATGTAGAAAAATGTTGCTACATCCCATCTTAGAGAGATTACTGTTTATGCTCTGTTCAAGGATTTTATGTTTCAGGTCTTGTATTTAGTTCTGTAATCCATTTTGAGTTTATTCTTGTGTATGATGAAAGAAAGTGGTCTAGTTTCATTCTTTTGCATGTAGCTGTGCAGTTTTCCTGGCACCATTTGTTGAAGAGACTGTCTTTTTCCCGTTGTATATTCTTGCCTCCTTTGTCAAAGACCAATTGACCATATAGTGGTTCATTTCTGGGGTTTATGTTCTGTTCCATTGATCTTCATGTCTATTTTTATGCCAGTACCATATTGCTTTAATTACTAGCACTTTGTAATAGAACTTGAAATATAGAATTGTAGTACCTCCAGTTTCGCTTTTCTTTTCAAGATTGTTTGGCTATTTGCAAACTTTTCTGGTTTCATATAAATTTTAGGATTGTTTGCTCTAGTTCTGTGAAAAATGACGTTGGTATTTTGAAAGGGATTGCACTAAATCTATAGATTTCTCTGTGTAGTGTAGACATTTTAACAATATTTGTTCTTCCAACCTATGAGCATGGAATGTCTTTCCACTTCTTTGCATCATCTTGAATTTCTTTCATCAATGTTTTATAGTTCTCAGAGTCTTTCACCTCCTTGGTGAAGTTAATTCCTAGAGATTTTATTGTTTTGGGTGCAATTCTAAATGGGATTGTTTTCTTATTTTCTCTTTATGCTGCTGTGTTATTAGTGTATAAGAATGCAACAGATTTCTGTACATTGATTATGTGTCCTGCAACTTTACTGAACTCATTTATTAGTTCTAGTAGGTTTTTTTTTTTGTGGAATCTTTTGGGTTTCTTACATAGAATATCATATTCATTACAAATAGAGTTTTACTTCTTTTTTACCAATTTGGATGCCTTTATTTCTTTACATTGTCTAATTGCTGCGGCTAGGACTTCCAGTACTATGTTGAATAAAAGTGGTGAGAGTGGGCATCCTTGTCTTGTTCCTGACCTTAAGGGAAAAGCTCTGGTTTTTTCACCAGTGAGTATGATGTTGGCTGTGAGCTTTTAATAGGAGACCTTTATTAGGTTGAGATATGTTTCCTCTAGACCTACTCTGCAGAGGGTTTTGTTTTTGTTTTTATCATGAATGGATGTTATACTTCATCAAATGCTTTTTCTGCATCTATTGAAATGATGATATGGTTTTTATCTTTTCTCTTATTGATGTGATGTATCATGTGGATTGTTTTGTGAATATTGAACTACCCTTGCATCTGGGAATAAATCCCACTTAATTGTGGTGTGATTTTTTTTCTTTTAATGTATTGGATTCAGTTTTCTAATATTTTGTTGGGGATTTTTGTATTTATATCCATGAAAGATATTTGGCTGCAATTCTCTTCTCGTAGCATCTTTTTCTGGTCGTGGTATCAGGGTGATACTGGCCTCATAGAGTGAATTTGGATGTTTTCCTTCCTCTTTTATATTTTGGAATAGTTTGAGAATAAGTATTAACTCTTCTTTAAATGTTGGGTAGAATTTACCTGTGAAGTCCTGTATTTTTTTGTTAGGAGGTTTTTGATTACTATTTCAATGGCTGGTAATCAGTCTGTTCAAATTTCCTGTTTATTCTTGCTTCCGTTTTGGGAGGTTCTGTGTTTCTAGGAATTTATCCGTTTCTTCTGAGTTGTCCAATTTGTTGGCATACAGGTTTTCATGATATTCTTTTACAATTGTTTATATTTCTGTGGTGTGGTGGTTGTTTCTCCTCTTTCATTGGTGATTTTGTTTAATGGGGTTCTCTTTCTCCCTCTTTTTAATGAGTCTGACTAGAAATGTATCAATTTTGTTGATCTTTTCAAAGAAACAGCTCCTGGTTTCATTGACTTCGTCTATTGTTTTTTTAGTTTCGTTATCATTGATTTTTGCTCTAATCTTTATTATTTTCTTCCTTTTGCTGGGTTTGGGTTTTGTTTGTTCTTTTTCTAGCTTAGGTGTTAGTTTAGGTTGTTTATTTGAGATTTTTCTTGCTTCCTGATGTAGGTCTGTATTGCTGTAAACTTCCCTCTTATAACCACTTTTGCTGGGGACGCCTGGGTGGCTCAGTCGGTTAAGCACCCGACTTTGGCTCAGGTCATGATCTCATGGTTTGTGGGTTTGAGCCCTGCATCAGGCTCTGTGCTGACAGCTCAGAGCCTGGAGCCTGCTTCCAATTCTGTGTCTCCCTCCCCTGTCCATGATGTGTCTCTGTCTCTCAAAAATAAATAAACATAAAAAAAAAAAGAACCACTTTTGCTATATCCCAAAGATTTCGACTGTTGTTTTCATTTTTACTTGTTTCCATGTAATTTTCAATTTCTTCTTTGATTTCTTGGTTGACCCATTCATTGTTTAGTAACATGTTATTTAAAGCCATGCGTTCATGCTCTTTCCAGATTTCTTTCTTGTGACTGATTTCTGGTTTCATAACATTGTGGTCAGAAAAGATGTATGGTATGACTTCTATTTTTTTTTTAATTTGTTGAGACTTGTTTTGTGGCCTAATATGTGATCTGTTCTGGAGAATGGTCCATGTGCACTTGAAAAGAATGCATATTCTGCTGTTTTAAGATTGTATGTTCTGAATATGTCTGTTAGATCCTTCTGGTCCAGTGTGTCATTCAAAGCCATTGTTACCTTGTTGACTTCCTGTTTGGATCATCTGTCCATCAGTGTAAGTGGGGTGTTCAAGTCGACTACTATTACTATGGATTATTTCCTTTATGTTTGTTATTAAGTGTTTTATGTATTTCACTCTTCTAAATAGGACTGTGTTTTAAGGTAGTGCTCAGCAGA